AAAAATTGAAATTCTTTTCTCTTTATGATAAAACTCATTTTTTTCAATTTTAATTAAATAATATATCTATATTCTTTATTTAATTTTCATAACTTTCTTTTGTTTAATTTCTTTTGTTTTTATTATTTTTTTTCGAAAATTGCTTTAAAATTTCTTTTTTTTTCACGTTATAAATAATTTTTTGTTCGATTTAAAATTCTTTTTAATTGAACTTTGAAAAGTTTGAATATGTTTTCTTCCTTTATGTTTATGCCCATGTCCACATTATTTTCTAATCTTTAATTATATTTTTGCAATCTTACAAAATCAGGTCTTTGGAAGAGGGTTGATACATGAAATTGTATTTAACATTTTAAGTCATAATTTATGATTTTGCATGGTGCCTGTCAACATGAAAAACTATTTTTAATACAATAGTGTAGATATTGTTATATTGTATATTTTGGTGATATTTAACTATTATAATCATAGTATTGGATTAGGCGTAAAACTTGAGTGGGCTAAATCATATTTTAAGTTGAGCTAATATATTTAGAGAAATATATTCAAAAAAAATTTTCCACAAACTTTTTTAAAGGGAAATGCCTGGTACAAATATATGTAAATTCTCACATGTTCATATAAAAAATAAAAAATATACAAAAAAAATTGATGAAAATTAAGTCAATTTCAACGAATTTATGAATACATGTCAAATTTATAAAAGAATTTTTCTAAATTTTACACGCGCTTATTTTAAACATTAACCGCACGTTCATTCACTAGTAATAGAAAAAGCTTGACAAAAACTATTAGTAGGAATGTAATTTGCTATTTAATGAACGGTTGTAAATGATATGTCATGTTAAGGTTTAATGGGGTAAAATTATGACAAAGTGAAAAGGTTAGGGGATCTATAATGTGATTTACCCTCATTTAATCTCTAATAAATAATAATAGAACTTCTCTCAGTGCAATTTTATGAAACTAGTTAGGTTTAGTTTTTCAAAGGAGTTAGTGTCTAATAACTTGAGTTGATACATATTTTAGTGACACTCTCCGATGATCAACCCTACATTCATTGTTATAATCAATAGTTTAAATTGTTGATTTGAAAGTCCTCATTGAATGATTATAATACTATTAGAAAATCGTAATTCTTGATAAATGGGGGAACGATATTGCCCCTTTTGCTCAAAAACAATAAGATATCAAAGTGTATGATGATTCATTACGTATATGAATAATGATAGAAATTTTTAATAATATAGATTCTTATTTCTTAATGACATTCAATAATCAAGACAATTGATTAAATCGCATGACACAATTTCAGGAAGTTCATTAATATATATCTTCTTTATATGAAAAAAAATCTATTTGAATAATCCTCATTAATTATGCATCTATTCCCTTTTTATGAAAAAGAAATGCCCGTATCATGACATTTCTCAATTTACGACGATGTAGATGGTTTCATCATTGGGGTTAATTGCAACTATACAAATATGGAATACTAATCTGCTATTAAAAAAATAGGTTAAGGACCAACATTATAATTTTACAGAAGCATGTATACTTGGATTGATGACGAGAAAACTATGACCGAGTAGCGGGGAAAATGGCAGGAAAATCTATCACTTTACGCTACCCTCAATTCCAAATCAAATCCATCCCAGACTCCAAATTAAGCCGGCCGTTCTTTGTTCAGCCTCAGCCCCTACGTCAAATCTTCATAAAACTGACAAAATTCAACACCCAACGTTGCGTTTTTATTCATACTCGAAAAAGTATATTTTGTTTTCATTATTCGATTCAAATAAAAGAGTCTCTGAAAACATCGCCTCTATTAATGATGATGAATTTGATGACTCAATTATGACATGGGTGGTTATAATATAGTTGGGTCAGAATGATCATTATCGCTGTTTTTCTTAAAACCCTCCAAAAATCTCAGCTTTTGATCACCGTTTCGCTCGCTCATGGATCCTGCCACGTCTCGTCCCGCTGTAGTTATCGATAATGGCACGGGGTATTTTGCAAAGATCGTTTTTTTAATAGTGATTAAACTGTTTGATGAAATTCCCAAAAGACATAAGCTTTGTAATTTTTTGAATTTTTTTTGCCGTTCTTGTTTATAACCAGGTATACTAAAATAGGTTTTGCTGGAAATGTTGAGCCATGTTTCATAGTCCCAACTGTAGTTGCTGCGAACCAGTCATTTGTCAACCAGCCTCGAGTTAGTTCTACGAAGAGCAGCTATTTTTCAGCGCAGTATAACGCCGGTGTGATGGCAGATCTTGATTTTTATATAGGGGAAGAGGCATTCTCTAGATCAAAGTCGAATAACAATTACAATTTGAGATATCCCATTAAGCATGGCCAAGTCGATGATTGGGATGCAATGGAGAAGTTCTGGCAGCAGTGTATATATAATTATCTGCGTTGCGATCCAGAGGATCATTACTTTTTATTGACAGAGAGCCCATTGACTGCACCAGAGAGCCGGGAGTATATGGGTGAAATTATGTTTGAGACATTTAATGTTGCAGGACTCTATATGGCGGTGCAGCCCGTTTTAGCTCTGGCTGCTGGTTCCACAACGTCCAAGGTTGGTTTTCATGTCATTAGGCTAGGAGGATTTACGATTCTTATTCTGTTTAAAGGTCTTTGATGATTCTTAGCTATTCTGGTTATCCTTTTTATATGGCTAACTGAATGAGTTTCAAACCTGTCTTCTTCGCTTCCCAAGATATTTAGGGAAAAGGGCCCTTGTCGGCCACTGCTTGCTGACGACGGAACGCATAGTCAATTCAGGGTCCGGAGAAAATGAACAATGAATTTTTGGTTTTTTGTTTCTTGTTTTTTGTTTTTTTTTTTTTTTTGTTTTTGTTTTTGTTTTTAAGTTTAATTTAAAGTTACAATTTTACCCCTATTAAAATTGGTTAAAGTCAATTTATTGGGTTAACTAACGGTCAAACTAACATAAACCATCTATTTGGACAGATGCGAGTTTTTTAAAGGTTTGATACTCACGT